GTCATCAAGGCAAACTTCTGATCTTCACACCAGGGTACCAAAGTTCTTCCCATCACCCTTTTAACTGTCAGCCCTCCCTGCCGCCCATAAAAAAGCCAAATTAAGAATGAATTGCCAAGTTGGAGCTAACTGCCCAATGGGGGCTTCTAACTGGAACCAGGCAAATTGTTTATGTAACGAAAAGCCCTTGAAAAGGAGCCCATGTGAACTGGTGAGTTATTTCTTCTTCAACATTGTCTCTCCTAATCCCCCACTCATTGCTTCAGAATCCTGGTATTCCTTCCACGTTCATCCCTCAGCCAGTACACACACACACACACACACACACACACACACACACACACACACAGCCTTCTCCTCATTTTCCTTCCCATGAACCTTCACTTCATGTTGGAGCCCTGTCCGCATGATCACGGCAAATCCCCAGGTAAATACTGAACCAAGATTGGTGTAAACTGGAGATACTATTCTACCAAAGAAGTGTTAGACAGAAGGCCCAGAATGTTTGCTGAGAGTTCACAAATTTTTTCCTGATCTTGGCAAAGACAGAAAATGAAGCCCCCTTTCCTCCGAGTCCTCCTACATTTGGAGAGCAGCCAAAGGAATGGGTTACAAACAGTACCCTTTGGTTCCTGACAGTCTCAAGGCCTATGAAGGTAAAATCCAAGTTTCTTCATTCCTTTTCTCAGGGAGTCTTGAGAATCATACACTAGTACAAATGCAAAGTATCATTATAACCAGCCATGTTATGGCCACAGCTACACATTTTTAGTTTTTAACACGAGGTGAAAGATTTCTCACCAATTTCAGTTTCACATACAAGATGCAAAGTAATTTATTCAAAGCACTCCTGTGTTTAATTTCAAAACATTCATTTCTTCACTCAGCAAATCTATGTTGCACATTTCAAAGAGCTGTAATTCATAGTTCCTGCTTTCAAACTACTCCTTTTCTAGTTGGGAAATGAAAACCCTACATACAAGGGTTAACTGACAACACAAGACCATGCCAAGTTCCTTCTCATGGCTGGTGTGGCCTATATGGCTCTCATAGTTTCGGCAGTACTGAAAATTTCCACTCTAATTGCTTCTGTCACTACTGTCGATCTCTTCTCTAATACAGGGTAGTGCGTAAATGTGTTCCTAAGGTGCCTGGGTTTATATCTGTGTTCTGCCATTCACTAGCTATGTGATCTTAGCCAAGTTATTCAGCCTGTCTGAGTCTAGTGCCACCTCTGTAAAGTGAAGATAATAATAGTCACCCACCTCACAGCCCCATAGTGAGAGATAAATGAGTGAATACACACAAAGCACTTAGAATGATACCTGACACATAGTAGTTGCTCAATAAATGTTAATAATTATTATTTTCCTGGTGTGGCTACTGTTCTTTGTTAATACCAGAGACCACAATTCTTATTGGGCTTCCAGGAGAAGCTGGTAAAGTGCTGTATTCATTCATCCATTCAATCAACAAATATATGTTGAGCATTTACAAGTCCCTGAGTTAAACCCTGGGGTCATATAGACAAAGAAAACATGGCCCTTGCCTTTAGGACTAAACAATTTACTGGAAGAAGTCCTGGATTAATAGTGCCCTGATGCACCTGGAAGAACCAAACACAAATCCTCCCCCGAAGAAGACACCCACAACCTGGTTTTCATAGGATTACCAAGGATAAAGTCAGGTTGAACATGAACTTATATTCCAAAATTACAAAGCACACGATGAAGCCAGAAACAATGAAAACAGAATCAGGTCCTTAAAGATCTCAGGTATTGCAATTAGGTAATATAAAATATAAAATAAGTTTTACATGTATTAAAAAACAAAAGAAGATTTTGAAAACATTAGCAAAGAACAAGATACTCACAGAAAAATAAGATTTTTTGGCCAGGCGTGCTGGCTCAAGCCTGTAATCCTAGCACTTTGGGAGGCCAAGATGAGTGGATCACTAGAGATCAGGAGTTCAAGACCAGCCTGGCCAACATGGTAAAACCCCATCTCTACTAAAAATACAAAATCAGCCAGGTGTGGTGGCACGTGCCCATAATCCCAGCCACATGGGAGGCTGAGGCAGGAAAATCACTTGAACCCAGGAGGCAGAGGTTGCAGTGAGCCAAGATCGCGTGCCACCGCACTCCAGCCTGGGCAACAGAGCGAGACTCTGTCTCAAAACAAACAACAACAACCAAAAAAAAAACCTTTTTATTTAAGTATCATCTTTTTACAGATGGCAAATTTAGGGTTCAGATAAGTGAGGTGACTCCTTCAATGTTACATAGGTTATAATGAAGGATTCAAATAAGTTTTCAGTGTCTGCTGGTTTTTGGCAAACTCAGTGACTGGAGTTGTATTATTTCTTCCCTGAGTCATTCAACAAGTGAGATGATTACAAAGTGCTATGCTAGGTCTGAAAATAAAAATAAAATAAAGATGAACAAAACAGAGTCCCTGCCCTCAAGTAGCTTAAAATTCAGTAGAGAAACAAGACTACACACATATAAAAATAATTATTAATATCAGGCTGTGTGGTAGAAACTACTGTGGTCTGGAACAGTAGGAAATGAGACTTGAATAAGTCTTGAAGAGCAGGGTGGATCTACAGGGAAGACAAGCTTTGAACTGGCCAGTGGGGTAGAAGAGATGGAACAGCCTGACAAAAGCCATGGAGAAAGTGAACCTACAGAGCAGTTGAAGGAGGAGCAAGTGCATTTGGCCAATGTGCTGGATACACATAGGGGCAGGCCTGTGCTGGCGCATAGGACCCTGTACTCAGAAGAGCCTCGTACATCGTTAAATGCTCTGCTTTGCCACCATCTGGAAATCTCGATTATTTTTTAACCCAGGGTTCTACATTTTCATTTTGCACCAGGACCCACAGATGATGTGGCTGGTCTTCCATAGGGGAACATGGGGAGGTGTGGTTGGGAAAGCAGACCACTCTTGGGAAGAAAGGATCTGGAATGCCACATTGATATTTGCCGTGCAGACAATGAGGAGTGACTGAAATTGTTTGAGTAGGGGAGGGATAGGGTGCCTGTGGTTTTAGGAAGCCACATCTTGGAAAGGGGGGAGTGTTCAGATGGAATCAGAGAAAGGAGAGATGGGAATTCATCAGGAGGCTATTGCAATAAAGCAATGGGGGCCTGGACAGAAATAGTGGCAGAAGACATGGAGAAGAGGAAAAGGCCATCATTGATTAAGTTATTCATTCTGCACATGGTTATGGCTACTGAGTACCTGTAATGTGTTAGTTATTATGCTAGGAGCTGGGATATAGGAATGTACAAGACTGTATCCCCAAACTCAACTTACTTACAGCTCAGTGAGGAAGGCAGATAAGTAAACACACTATGGTACCCTGATAGCCCCGTGTGCTAAGGGCTAGGATCAAATTACATTTAAATTGTTGCGAGAGCCTAGAGAAAGGGTACCTAATCCAGACAGGACACAGAAGGTCACTCCAAAAAGAGGGAACAAGATGTACAGAATCATGGAACACCTACTGTGTGCCAGGCTGGGGATCCTAGCTCTCAGACTGGTAGAGGAAGCAGAAAGCAACCAGAGAAGAACAAGACAATGTGTCCAGTGCCATGATGTGGACACTGTGGGAGTACAGAGGAGGGGCATCGAACCCGGGCTGGAGGGGCAGGGAAAACTGTTCCTTAAAGGTGTCCTCTGAGCTTTGTGTTGTAGATGAGAAGGTGTTAGCTGGGTGAAGGGAGGGAGGAAGGGATGGGCACAGCGGTGGGAGTGATGTGTGCAAATTCACAGAAGTAAAAGAGCTATATATGTGGCTCTATGAGAATTGTAAATGACTCCCTATGATTTAATTCTAGAATGAACAAGCAAAAGCATGGTGGGGGAGGGGAGGATGGCCAAAAAGATAGACGTTAAATGCCAAGCTAAGCAAGTAGGACTTCATCCTATAGAGCAATAGTTCTTAGCCTTGACTCTATATTAGAAGAACCTGGGGAACTTTTTAAAAAACAAATACCTATGACTGGATCCCACCCCTAGAAACTCTGATTTAATTAGTCTGCAGGAGAGATATTAGAACTTTTAAAACCTCCTTCAATTTATTTGAATGTGCAGCCAGGACTGAGAACCATGGCTCTAGTAAGCCAGTTCTCAAATTTGAGTGCTCATCACAATCACCTGGAGGGTTGTTAAACACAGAGTCAGGTGGGCACTTGCAGAGTTTCTGATTCAGGAGGTACTCTAATGAGTACGTATTCTTTTTTTTTTTTTTTTTTTTTTTTCCCAGCAGCCCAATATAATAGGAGTGCAGAGCAAGATTTAATTGATTTAAGAAAATAAAGACATTCTATGTTTCTCACTATCCAAGTTCATGAACCACGACCCATACAACAACAAGGTCTGACTTTCAGAGAAGTTAACATATTCTTACTTTAACAAGTTGCCAGAGATGCTGGTGTTGCTGGCCCCGGGACCCACATTTTGAGAGCCTCTAGTCTCAGGTGTTGTGAGGCTATTTACAAGTGTTAAGTGGAGGGGGTGGAGGTGTGAAATGATATGATTTGCATGTTTGAAAGATCACTCAGGCCACTTTGCGGAGAATGGTCACAGAGCGGAAAGGAGAGAAGGTGAAAAAACAGGAAGGAATTGTAGGAATCAAGGCAAGAGATGACTGCAGGTGGGAGGAGTCCTGAACTGAAGCCCCGGCAGTAGGAATGGAGAAAATGGATCACATTCAGGGAATGCTCAGGAAATACACTTGGCAAGGCTTAGTGGCTGACTGAATGTGGAGGTGAGAAATAAAGATGAGTGAACTACAACTCTTGGGTTTTTGCCCTGGGCAACCAGTGACTCTGATTTTACTGGGCATGGTGGTTGTCGTAATAAAAAGTTAAATGTGTTACCAGGCTTAGGGTAGGCCATGGGAGAGGGGGGCATTTCTGCCCTCAAATCTCATAGCAATAGTACCAGGGAATTCAACAGGCATCTCTCATTTTCCACTCAATCCCTATTTTTAGCACCAGGAGTCCTCACATTGACCCTAATCAACTTGGGACTCTCTGCGAAGTACTTGGAAAGGAAAAGGAAGATGGTGGCTACCCTGACATGATGACCACCCACCCAAGCTCCAGGTACGAAGCCTGCTCTTCTGGAATTACTCTAGGTATGTTTACTTCATTCTTTCATCATTTTAACAAATATGTATAAGGCTGCTGCCTAGAGAAATTTTAAAATATTCATATGCCATATTTCACACAGAGGTAAGGAATTCATATTTCCTCTTACATAACCAACAAAGCAAATGCAGCTTAAGAATAGCCTGCAAAAGAATTCATTCCACATAGACTTAAAATGTTTAAAAATGAGCAGTTTTCCAGTCCATCATTGGTCGTGACTATTTGTAAGTCTCCTCCGTGGGCAACTAGACTGCCAGCAATCAACAAGACCAGCAGGAATGATGGATGGGATAATTGTCCATTAGCGTACAGATAACTTTTGTACTGTGGGAGGGTTCGGCAAGATAGAGACATGATAGATGGCAGAAGAGTTAGCTAATATAATAGGAGTTGCAGCTCCATTTCTGGTAGTAACTATTCTCTGGCTGAATCGATGATTAATCAAAGACACATTCTCATTTGAAACACTTTGCTCACCGGTGCACAACCCCCGCTTTAGGTTAAATTTAATAGCATCATTAAAAACTACTGTTCAAGACATTCAAATTACTTCTCTCTAGAAGAAACCAAGCCACAATAGAGAGTGCTTTTGTGAGCCCATGGAGGGCAAAGGCCATGCAGGGCATGTGGAGCAGACACAGAGCACTCAGTAAATGTTTGTTAAAGTGACGTGAAATGAATTAATACATCTGTCCATTCATTCATCTGTTTATTCCTTCAACAGACCTTCATTAAGTATAGGAATTAAAGAGTTCAGGCTCTGGAACTAGATGCTTTAGGCTTCAAATTCCAGCTGCAAGCAGCTATATGATCTTGAGCAAATGACCTAGCCTCTCTCAGCCTGATGCCTGCTCTGTGACGTGGGGGAAATTAGTACTTGCTCCTGTAGAGCTGTGTGGGGATTTAATGAATTAGTGAGTGTTTAGTACAGGCCCTGGCCCATAGTGAGTAGTCACTATAGGGCAGCTGTTATTATATTGTTGTTGTATTTGTTAGGCTAGGCCTCTCTCAAGTAACTAGGTCATTTGAAGAAGCAAGAAATGACAAGGCTTTTGGCCAAAGCTGGTTTTCATTAAGGTGGTTATATATGGTTCCCAGCCCAGAGCCCCACTACCCTAGGCCTGCCATTCCTGGCCTGGTGCCCTCCTGTGGCAGCATAGGCTATCTCTGGGTGGGTTGTGGTCTCTAGAGAAGCCTGAGAAATTGTGGAGTGGGAAGGTGAAGAAAGAAGGTAAGAGCTGGCCAGGATACAATTACCCATCAACATGCAACCACCCCCCACACCCCCATCATTAACTCCCTTTCTATGCTTTCTATAGCTCTTCCTGGCAACATTTCTACCTACGAATTGCTATTTCTAATGTTTATCCTCTTGGCTCAGCTGAACAATACTATCCTTGATTTTGATTTTAATTTTAATTTTCAGGCGACATAGTAGAGAATACTTGACTTGGGAGTTGGGTCAGGAGGCAAGGGAGGCGATACAACTCAGTGATTATAATTGGATTCTGACATAGAAACAACTGGTCAGTGAAGAGCTGTGTGACCTAGACATTATCTAATGCATCTGAGCCTCAGCTGTAGAAAATGGAAAGTGAGAATACTGGTTGTCAAGACTAAATCAAAACCACCTAGCATACTGCCTGGTTAACAGTAAAATACTCAATAAATGGTGACTATGACTATTATTTTGAGATCCTTGATCTGGAAACAGAAGCCTAGAGAGATTAAGAGGACAACACTCATGCAGTTATTTGGTTGCAGAGCATTCTTGCTCCTTGTTCTCACTACTAACCCAGGCCTGCCTCTTTCAGACCTTTTACAGAACCTCATATACACATACTCTGAGACACTATTTATAATTACAGGTCACGCTTGGTTTTTTGCATGAGGTAGATTTAATAAATTCAAATGTATTCTACCCATAGCTGTCTGCCTGGAAGATCTTATGAACAACTCCAGGGCAGGAGCCATAGTTTGCTCATGTAATATATGCTCAATAAATGTTTGGTGAGTGAATGTTAAGTTTGCAGTCAATAAGCTACCTGAGTTATGGATGTTCCATATCTCTTGTGTTACATTACAAGCAGTGCAGAAAAGTGGAATGGGTGCAATGGACTGATGCAGGCCTGGGTTTGAACTCTACAGCTGATAGCTGGGTTCAAAGCACCTAAGAGTACTGGAAAAATGCAGTTCTGGATAAATAGAGGAGAAAGAATAGCAGTAGTAATAATAGTAGTAGCAGCAGCAATAGCAGCAGCGGCAGCAGTGGTAACTATTAGCAAAAAGTGGAGTAAGAAAACTTTCGTAAGGATGAATTTTGTTCTCAAGAGCTTTAAGGGGTCCAAAATGTGCTATGTGGAGAAAGTATAGTGTAACTGACTGAGATAAACCTGGGTTTGAATTCTGGCTCTCAACTTACTGTGTCTGACCTTGCATTATGTTTCCTGAGCCTCAGTATCTTCATTGTAAAATTTAGATGATAGTACCTACCTCACAGCTTTGTAGTGAGGATGAAATAAGATATGGTATATAAAGTATATCATAGCATAAGACCTCGCTCATAATAATGTCTCAAAATGCTATTTGATGAATTAATGAATGTGTATCTTTAGCAAAATGTCATGAAAAACTACAGCCACCCTTTAGAGTCTGCCTGAGAGGAGAAGGAGGAAGAGACAATTCCAAATAAGAACTGGCTCAACACTTAACCACCTGTCTCTTACCATGCAACATGTAATGTAGAAAGTACTGGAAAAATTAGTGTGATCAGAACAAACCATTCCCACTGAATGCATAGAGAGAAGGTGTTGTTTCACATCATAACCACATAGTTGCTGGACCTGAGAGAGTCCATCAGAATGTTAATAAGTATTTGAAAATACAAGTATAGTGCCCAACACATATAGAATAGTTGGTCATCTTAGTTCCTTTCCTGCCCTTCTCTGAAATGGGTAGAAACAAATACACCACTAACCAACAAAGCAGCAACAAAAAAACTGAGTTAAAGTGGTTGAGAACTGATCATGGCACTGACCTTACTGGACTGACCCTTCACTCTTGGCTCTGGTATGACCTGCCAGCCTGGAGAGCCTCTCAGGCAACCTCCGTCTCCCAGGTTCAAGCGATTCTCCTGCCTCAGCCTCCCGAGTAACTGGGACAACAGGTGTGTGCCACACCCAGCTAATTTTTGTATTTTTAGTAGAGTCAGGGTTTCACCATGTGGGCCAGGCTGGTCTTGAACTCCTGAGCTCAGGTGATCTGCCCGCCTCAGCCTCCCAAAGTGCTGGGATTACAGGTGTGAGACACCCCGCCTGGCCTCCTCTTTCCTCTTTATGAGCCTGAAGGGTACAGGACACGATGGGGTGGGATCAATTCACAGCCTAGGCTACAAAAACTGTCTTTTCTCCTGTTTCTGTTCTTTGCCCCTCAGCCCCTAGTTTTGTTTGGACATGCACTAAGAATAGCATTTAGGATTCCTGCGTTCTCTGTCTCTTTTTTAATGTTTGGATTGGCTGTTTGCCAAGGCAACTGAATAAATAGCATTTTCAAAGAGCAGGTGAGTTTGGGGAAGATCTCTTATCTTTTCCAATATATTAACTCCCTGCTAATTAAAGCCATCAGAGACCCTCTTGGAAAGAGCAGATAAATTCTCCCAGGACTTCCAAATTAAAGTTCCTACAAGAGCCCCAACAAGGTTGTCATTTTTAAGGGAAAAATACCCCAGGTGTGTTAGTTGCTGCTAGGAAATCTGAGAAGTGACCTACAGGTTACATTTCTGATGTGAAAACCACTTTATGTTCCACGTAAGCAACTGTTTGATGTGTGGCATGGTAGTAATGGGTGTGAACCATCTGATTTTAACCAGAATGTAGGTGATTTGCTCACAACTGGGGAGGACACGTAAATATGGCTTTGCCTCCCAGTCTTGTATCTGGCCCAGACATGCAAATTCCAGTCTGCAAACTTATTCTTCTCTGCCAGGATTCAATAGGTTAATGTCAGCAACTGGCAGAGGTCTGCCTGTGGTTACAGTGAGTGGCACATGGCAACAGGTAACGACAACAAAAGGCTGCCAGAAAAGGGAGCCCAGCTTGTCTGAGGGCCAGATAATGTGACTTGCCAGTCAGGGGAGGGAACAGTTCCTGGTTCTGGGCCATTTCTAGAGGTACAGAGAACAGAACCAGGAGAAACCTGGACAGGGAAAAGGAGATGACAGCTGCCATTTGTTGAGCACTTACTCTGTGCAGGCACTGTGCCAAGTCTCAGTGTGTTCTCTAATTTGATCCCAGGAAGAGCCCCATTTTCCAGAAAGGAAAACTGCAGCCATAAGGCAAAAACAGATTAAAAACTAGGAACTGGGAACAACACAAATACCAAAGCACCCAGAAGGCAAAGCAGTTGGAATCAGTTGCCAAGAAAACTTCAGAAGCCTGTGTTCCTTATAGCCATGGCCATTGGGATTTGGAGATTTGCATCCAAGCCACTCCATTCCTTCAGCTGCCTCCTTTATTGGGTCAGCTTTTCCTGTCACACCTCAAAGTGTTGGCAAGGGCAGAGAGCTGATTTGGCAAGGACCAGAACCAGAAGAGGGATGAACAGGTGTATGCAACAGATTCCTTTTGAGGAATACTTTAATGGCCATATGCCATAAAACTCCAGCTAGCGTGCCAGTGGAAGAAAAGGATCGATGAGTTGCAATAGACAAATTGGCACATATATTTGAGCTTTGTTTATACTTCTATAATCGATGTTACTCATTTCCTTGTGTGAAACTAAGATGTTCTGCCATCAGTAATACCTATCGATAAATGCAAATATGATTGAGTTTCATTAGCAGAGTCCCCTGCTTAAGCATACTGACAATTGCAATGAAAGCACAAGCCCTACTGCAACTAGCACACAACAGAAGTCGCAACACAACTCTGACGCGTGACTTGTCTACATAGTCTTCCC